ACAAGTAATATCGTAACCGAACTTTTGTTAATGTTGAAGGACAAACTTGATATTCTTGATCCCCGTACTCAAATTGAATTGAAATTTAAGGTCGTTAACTTGAATATACCTCCGACCGAAATACGCGACGATGAAGACTTATTTTCATCACATCTCAAATTGAATTTGAAAGACAATTAGTGTGATGCTTTTAAAGTCTAAGTGCGCTTGTATCACTCACACTTGGTCTATCATTTATGAAAATTGTGTACATTAAATCATGTGTACCATTTCATCTTGATTGAAACATGGTACGCACAATATTTTAATGCAAACAAAGAACTGCTCATTATGTTTTGCAAGAAAACGATGTCCAGTGATATTACCATGATTCAAGACGTTTTCGATTGAAACAAATCATAATATTCAATTCAATCACGTTTATTTTTAATGGAATACCAGTTTTAATCGATAAATCAAATGAGTTTTAAAAGCAAGAAAGTTATAAAATGCACCAAAAATCATTTTTATGTACACAACCTTACTCAAGTATCGAACATGATGTAACCATTGTTTTGTACTGTGGAGTAGCTCCATGACCCTATTTAAAAAACAATCTACTATTCTTTGCTATTTACTATTCATTACTATAACCATTTTCTGTATGAAACAAAAACAGTTTCCTCTGCCAACATCACATAAATAAAATCAACTAATGCAAAATTATATACATAAGCGAATATAACCACCTTTTTTTTAATAAAGACTTGAGATCTTAAAATAGATTTTTCTATAAATTATTGAATATTTCAAAATAATATACAACACGGGACTACTATGACTAAGACTGACAAAATTAAGCTAATCAAGGATGTTGCTGACCACCGTTTGGAAAATTAATTACTTAAAATTTAGTGAAAGAACCCGAAACCAACTTTGAGCTCAATATTCGTGATGTTAATTTTTGTATGTCACACGTCATCACAGTCCTTAATATAAATTTGCCGACACATTCAAACTATATATTTCAAAATAAAGTGAAAAACACAATATTATTGAGGGTAGGTATTTTGTACTTGTTCAATAATTATTTCCAACATCCAAGATTGTTTATTAGAAGTGATCATGCACAACATTCTCTTATTCAACTCCTCTAATACAATGCACCCACACAAACTGTTGGGCTGTGATGCCAACATGATCAGTCCAATTGTAGGCAATGATGATAAATTTCAGACCCAATAGATAAAGAGCAGATTGATCCACTCTTTTAAACTTAGATGACCCGCTTAACCGAGCCCAATACCCGGCCCATTCTCATAGTTGCTCTGAGACCGTTGGATCAACCCATTAATCTGATGGCTGATGTTTTCTACTATAAATATATCCCTTTCTCATTTTTAGGGTTGGCAGTCGTTTTTCATTTTTCTCTCTTCTGTGAGCCGTGTTCTGGAACCTTCACTAGGGTTTTTTAGTTTTGTTCTTCTTCGATCTCTCTGTGTGCGATTCTGAAGAATCATCCTTGTGATCTTCATTCCTTGGGTGATTCTTCTCTATGTGAAATCTTTGTATCGAAGGGTTTTGTTCATTCTGTGTCCTGTTGAAGTAACTCTGTAGATTTGGGACTGTGAGGGCTCGCGGTTAAGATTTGGTGTCTCTGTGATGTTTGTTATGGGGTCTTTGGTCTGAGCCTTAAAGGATTTTCACTTGATGCTGTGGTCTTAGGGGATTCATGTAAATGATATATTCTTGATGTACTATTTTCAGATCTGTGTATAATAGTGGTATCAGAGCTTTAGTAATTCGTTCTTGAGTCTACGGTTGAAGCTCGAACACTGGAAAATTAATTTTCAGGCGTTCTACTTCAGATCACGAAACCCTAGGTCTAGATTTGTGTCGATCTGGTGGTTTGTTGAGCTGATTCGAAACTGGACTGTGGAAAAACGAGAAAGTCTTGTGACTTCTCGCCTCGACCCGTAGAAGGACCCTAAAATAAGAGGTCCTGTGGTTTCATTTTTGAACTGGAACCCTAATTTCGAAGCTGTAAAGGCTCGGTTCGTGTTTTGGTGATCTGGAGAACACTCACCCCTTGCTGTGATAACTAATTCCTGATTAGTGCTGGTGGTTAATCGTTTAATCACCCTTCGGTTTGCACTTCCTGATCCCTACTTGATCACAAACACACGTAACACTGTGTATATTTTTTATTATGCCTCTATCTTGATATGATTAATTGTTGTATATTGTAATTTGTTACATTAATTGATGATATCTCGTTATTGTTGTCTGTGATCTCTGTCTGTGATTGTTTAAGTTTGGGTGATCCAAATTGAGCATTGACCTGAGAACTTGATTCTTACGGAATCCTGGTGAATTTGATCAACCCTAGGTTCTGCAGACATTGTTTATTAATACTGAGATGTTGTTTCTGCCTATATTGTTGTATTTCCTTGGTTCTTGTAGTGTTTCATATTGATGTGATTATTGATCTTGAAATTGCTGAAATTTTTTGTAATAAGGAATAATTGTGACTCAGTAATCTGATTACATTTTATTTTTCTGGTGATCTAAAACATCATTTTTTGCGAAGGTCAAATTCAACAGATCTTTTCAAAAGTTGATTATCTGTCTTGTTTTAATTTTTAGGG